CGTGTGTGTGTGTGTGTGTGTGTGTGTGTGTGTGTGTGTGTGTGTGTGTGTGTGTGTGTGTGTGTGTGTGTGTGTGTGTGTGTGTGTGTGTGTGTGTGTGTGTGTGTGTGTGCACGCTCCTCGGTGTGAGAGTGATCCTGTGAATTTCTCACATACACACTCATGTACGTGCACGCACCAACGTGCTGTCGTCTGCAGGAAACACATCCACATCAAGCGGCAGCCCGAGGTGCTTTGCCTCACAATCAAACGCTTCAAGTACAAATACGGTCGATCCATCAAAATCAACACGTAGGTCGCCGCTGTTGTTCTGCGTGTGTGTGTGTGTGTGCGTGTGTGTGTGTGTGTGTGTGTGTGTGTGTGTGTGTGTGTGTGTGTGTGTGCGTGTGCGCTGAAAACAGCCACTCTCGTGTTTGCCTGCACCCACACTGTCGCTGACACATGTTTCACACGGATGCGTGTGTTGTGTGAACATATGTTGTGTGTACGTGCTTGCAACAGGCGCGTTGAGTTTCCGCGCGTGCTCCGGCTTGATGAGTTCACGCGCGGACGCGACGATGACAGCGGTGAAGGTGATGGGAGCAATCAAGGAGGCAGCAACAACAATGGTCATGGCAGTGAAGGTGAGGGCAGCGGTAAGAGCAGAAGTGGGATGCACGATGAGAATCACAACAATGACGATGATGGCGATGACCAACACCAACGGAAGCATCAGCAGCAGCAGCATCACCAACAGAAGCAGCAGCAGCAGCAGCAGCAGCAGGGGGAAGATAGAACGTGTGACACAACACAGGATGAGCACGGGGAGTCGAGTTGTAACGACGAAGATTCATTCTATGAACTCACAGCTGTCATTCAACACATGGTGAGTGTTTGAGAGAACAATGTGTGTGTGTGTGTCTTGTCTGTGATGTGCGTGTGTGGGTGCATGTCTGTGATGTGTGCGTGCGTGCGTGCGTGCGTGCGTGTGTGTGCATGTCTGTGATGTGATGTGTGCGTGCGTGTGCGCACTTTTGTACACTCAAGCCTGCACCTGCAATGCTGTAGCTGTGTTGCCCCCCCCCTCATCTTCTCTTGCCCCAATCACCAACCCCCTACCCCCTCCTCTTCACATCCGGGCTATGCAGGGAAGCATGGACTATGGACACTACATATGCTATGCACGAGACGTGGACACGGGCGAGTGGCTGAAGTACAATGATGAAATTGTCACACGCGTCGATGAGTCAACCGTCCTCGGCGTTCAGGCTTACGTTCTCTTCTACCGCAGGTCAGTGTGTGTGTGTGTGTGTATGAGTGTGTGTGTGTGTGTGTGTGTGTGTGTGTGTGTGTGTGTGTGTGTGTGTGTGTGTGTGTGTGTGCAGTAGCTTCACACACTGCCTTCTCCCATCACTTTCATTCTCTCCAAATCACCAAATCACCAATCACAATCAACCACCACCACCACCGCCAGGCGCTCACCATGCGAGGAGCAGCGTCGCATCGCGTGTGCATCGCAACTCCTGCAGCCCATCGCATCCGCCATGCACCCGGCCAACACCGCCACCCAATACGCACTTGGTACGTCGCCATTTGTGTGTGCGTGTGTGTGTGTGTGTGTGTGTTCGTTCCTACTTCTCCTTCTCGCGACATATGCTGCTTGTTTGTGCTCAACTTAACTCTCCATTCACTGCCCACGCCTGCCTGCACTCACCACCACCACCACCACCACCAGTGTCCAAATCGTGGTTGTCGCGCCTTATCACCACCATTGACCCTGGCCCCATCACAAACTACGACTTTGCCTGCCACCATGGCGCAATCATCCCCATGAAGGCTGACCCGCACACGCTCGCGTACAAGGTGTGTGTGTGTGTGTCTGTGTGTGTGTGTGTGTGTGTGTCTGTCTGTCTGTGTGTGTGCGTCTGCGTGCCTGTGCGCGTGCGTGAGCAATTGTGCACCTGCACGAGTCCTTGGACATTCTCGCTCATCACACCACCATTCACCACCACCACCACCACCACCACCAGATTCCGCTGCCGCTGTTTCTTCAACTGCAATTCAAATTTGGTGGCGGCCCGCTCGTCACGACTTTCCATATTTGCACAAAGTGCAAGGTGTGTCTGAGTTGTTTGTTATGTTTGTTATGTTGTTATTTTTTTTTTTTTGCAATTGCATGCCACCAGTCCTTTCCTATGTGACTTGTGTGTGTTGCTTGCTTGTTTGTGCGGTACGTTTGCCTAAAGAGGCCATTCTGTTCGAGGTATTCATTTTTTGCCTTCGTGTCTCTCTCCTGCTTCTCCAGTAACGCTTTTCACGCATGCACACGTGTACTTGACACATGTACATACTCACACATGCATGTATGCACATATGCACACATGTACAGCGGCACCTGACGTCGCTGCGTGCACGACGCGTGTCTGAGAGCAGAGCGTTTCTCGCCCTCTCGGCGCCATCACTGCTGGAAACCATTGATCTCACTGCATTCACAGCACCGCAGCAGCAGCAGCAGCAAACACATGGAGAGTCAACGACCGCACCTACTGCTGCTACTACTGATGATGATGTTGATGATGATGGAATGGCTTCGACGATTACAACCAACACGACAGCAACAAAGTCGACAGCGTCTGACGAGCCAGCATCCACAACCTCCGTGTCATCACCACCACCACCATCATCATCACTGCCGCCATCATCATCATCAGCAGCAGCAGCAGCACTTCCGCCGAGAGCAAGGCGACGGCGGTTTGTTGTCTCTGCAATTTGGTTGCGCGAGTGGCGCAAGTGGCTCAAGATGGGTGATTACGACTTTGCACTGCCGCCCACCGAAGTCGACAATAAGGTGCTGTATTTGTGTGTGTATTTGTGCGTGTGTGTGTGTGTGTGTATTTGTGTGTGTATTTTTTTTTTGTGTGTGTGTGTAAGTTATGCTGCTGCTGTGTCTTGAACGTGCCATGGATGAAGGCGTATGCGTCGACCACTACAGCGACAGCAACCACCTTCCATCAGAACATCCCTTTCACACTGCCGGTCGTGCTTGCTGTTACGCGTTGCTTCGCTTTAGTTTCTGCTGGACGAAAACACACAGACTCTCAAACCGTCCATGCGAGAGAAAACGCATTTCGAAGTCGTCACTGAACAGCAGTGGCACTTCTTGCACGGTGCGCGCACGTGTGCGTGTGCGTGTGTGTGTGTGTGCACGCGTGTGTGTGCGTGTGTGTGCGTGTGTACGTGTGTATGTGTGTACGTGTGTATGTATGTGTGTGTTAATGTACGTGCATGTCATATATTCAAGTCATCCGACTGCTGCGTGGATTTTTCCGTGCCATTCGTGCTCACATTCATGTTCTGTTTCCCCATTGCTCATTGCACAGACACATATGGTGGCGGCCCGGAAATTGAATGGAGCCACAACGACGACGACGACGACGATTATGATCATGATGATGTTGATGATGAGCATGCCATCGGAGATGCCAAAGCATTTGGCAGTGGTCACCGTGACGTTCGTGATCCTCGGACAACGAGGAGGAACACAGTTCTATTTGGGTCGCTACGTAACTGAAACACATGACACACACACACACACACACACACACACACACACACACACACACACACACACACACACACACACACACACACACACACACACACACCAAGTGCACGTCACACTGTTACTTCGTCCAGCAACGCTTCCCCGTCTCCACTCCCATCACCATGGCCCCGCAGCGACTGCAACACCAGCACAGTGCCGGGTGGTGGTCGCTGGTGGTGGTGCAGTTGGTCTTCAGCGGATTCGCGTTCCCGCTGCTGTCTGCTCTCCCCTCCACCATTCATCAGCGGTGGTGTTTTCGTTGTTGCAGAACCTGTCGGAATGGAAAAGTCGATGAGTGGCAATGGTATTGTCGCTGTCGTCGCTGTTGCTGCTGAGGACAATGACGATGTTGGTGGCGGTGGTGGCAATGTTTGCTCCGCCGTGGTGGTCCCATCATCAGCATGGCATTCCTCCCCCACATCCTCGGCCTGTTGACGTTGCCGCGGCTGCTGTTGTTGTTGTTGCCGCCGCTGTTGTTGCTGTTGTTGCTGCTCGCTGTTTTGATGGCCACCGCTGCAACGCACCCCACCGCCTCCATTCCCAGTCTTCAGTGCCTGTGTCCGTGCAGGGGAGAGAGCAGAGAACATTGGAAGTGCCGTGAACGTCATCGTGGGTGGCGGTGGTGGGCGGAAGCTTGCGCACGCTTGCCCACGGACAGACAACAGCTCCCCTGGCTGCTCACTGTCACTGTCGCCTCCACTACCATCACCACCGTCACCATCGCCATGACAACGGCTGCCATCATCGTCATCGTTGGTGGCAGCTGCTGCGTTGTGCCGTCGCGGACCGGGATGTGATGACGAAGAAGTGGCTGCAGCAGTCGCAGGAGCAGTAGTAGGAGGAGGGATGGTGGCGGTGGACAACACCTCAGGCGCATCGTCTCTGTCGTTGCTGTTGCTGTCGTCGTCGTCATCATCATCATCATCATCATCATGATGGCCCCGGCCGCCATTCATCCTCACCATAATGGATGTTGATGAGGTTGAGGACGATGATGGTGATGATCTTGATGCCGATGACGGCGGCTGCTCGGCCATGGCGCGCACACCATCACCATGGCTGCTGCTTCGCCGCTGCTGCCACTGCTGCTGCTGTTGCGGTTGTTGCATGGAGTGAATGGACGATAACGAAGATGCATTGAGCAGCATGCGTGTGGAGCCTGCGTCGTCGTCATCTTCGCTGCTCTGGCCGCACGTGTTTCTTGCGTTGAAATCTCCATCGCCACCATCACCGCCCGCCGCAAAGCGTGTTTCAGTCCACGTCTTCGCTGTTGACTTGGGGGCCGTTGCACCCTTTGTCAATGCTGTGAGCTGGGTTGCATTGGATGCCAGCACATCAGGCAGTGGCGCTGGTGTCGGGTCATGCGTTGTTGTGTCATGTAGTGTCGGGTCATGGCGTGTTGACAGCCACTGCCGAATAACATCCCGCAGTCGCTCCTTTGTAAACGGTTTCGAGATGTAGTCGTTCATGCCTGTGTGTGATTGTGTGCATTTGTGTGAGCGTGAGCGTGTGTGCTTGTGTGTGATTGTGTGCGTGTGCATCACAGAATTGTGTGGATGTGTGTGTGTGTGTGTGTGTGGATGTGCGTGCAGAACACTGAACAGGCAAGACCACCACCACCATCACATGCTTACCACAACCAAGACACCAACGCGCACACCTTCTGCGATGCATTTTGCTTGGTCCTCCGGCATACTGTAAGCAGTCATGGCAACAATGGTCGTTGCAGCGAGCCCTTCCTTGGCTTCGTAACTGCGAATCATATTCGTCGCCTGGAAACCATCACAATTCGGCATCTGTGCATGACAACAGGAAGAGGAGGTGTGAAGGGAAATGGGAGGAAGGTGTGGGTTCAGTTGTGGTTTGATTGAGTTGGGGGGAGGCGTGAACAGGTGGTGACGTGGGAGAACAAAAGCAATAGTACGAGGGAAAGAAACACGTGCATTTGAGAGGAGCAGCAACAACGAACGGAAACCCAACAGCCAGTAACAAACGCCTGTGTGTGTATGTTTGTGTGTTTGTGTCTGTGTTTGTGTGTTTGTGTCTGTGTGTGTGTGTGTTTGTGTCTGTGTGTGTGTGTGTGCTTGTGTCTCTGTGTGTGTGTGTGTTTGTGTCTGTGTGTGTGTGTTTGTGTCTGTGTGTGTGTGTGTGTGCGTGTGTCTGTGTGTCTGTACCTGGCAGTCCATGAGGACGAGGTCGTAGTTGTTGTTCTTGAATTGATGGACACCATCAAGACCGTCTGTTGCCAGATCAACGTGAGTGTATCCCGCCCACGCCAGGAAGCGCCTGGCAATCTGCGATCGGTGTGTGTGTGTGTGTGTGTGTGTGTGTGTGTGTGTGTGTGTGTGTGTGTGTGTGTGTGTGGTGATGAGAATGGTGCAAGACAGGCGCTCGTGTCCAGATACAGTGTTGGTGAACATGGTGTCGACTCGCGACTTGCCTTGATGTTGACTTCGTTGTCTTCGACCAAAAGGATGCGCGCTGTGCTGCTCGCCTGTTGTTGTTGCTGCTGCTGTGATTGCGATCGTGAAGGAAGCGGTGCATGCACACACACACACACACACACACACACACACACACACACACACACACACACAGGTGGGAACATAGAACCATCAATTGGGGGGCGTCAATAAGTGTGGGACGAACGCACAAGCGGCTTTCCCACAAACGATGTGACATGGTGTGACGACAAACGATCACAAGCATGCATCACGACATGCAATGAAACGTGCGCAGTGAGTCTCACCTTTGCCGCGTGTTCGTGGTGTGCTGTCACAGGTTGTGGGACACTTCCTGACTTCTGGTGCTCTTGCAGATCTTGTTGTTCGCTTGCGTTTGTTGGTGTCACAGCAACTTTTCGGCGGCGCGAGCGAGACGGAGAAGACGGGCGACTGTGGCGGATGCAGGGCAAGGGGGGGGGAATGAACGAGAGGAGAGTGGGTGAACGAGGGTGAGGGAGTGGGTAAGTTGAAGTGAGAGTGAGGGAGTGGGTGAGGGTGAGTTGAAGTGAGAATACTTGTGACACAACAGAGTGGTGAAAAGGATGTAGCCGTGGATTTGTGGGGCCATGGAATGCGCGGTCGTGCGTGAGCAGCAAGGCATTGGCGAGCCGTGCATGTTGTTGTGCGTTTGGTTGTTCGAGACTCACTGTCGTCGTTGGGAAGCGGAGAATTGCGAGTGAGTGCGATCAATGGCTGCCGTCAGCTGATCCACATCCTGTGATGATGGTAGTGGTGGTGGTGGTGGGGACGAAAAGTGGTGAGGGCGCAGATGGTACAGGTATGGTGCGAGCACAACGAGTTTGCAGCGTCCATACACAAACCAACAGCAGCAGCAGCAGTCCACACAAAACAACATCATCTTTACCTTGACTTCGTCGATACCAAGAAGGGCCTTCCACAAGCTCTCTCGTTTGACGGGCTTGTTGAGCAGCGAAAAGTGCTTGCACTGCCGCAGGAACGTCGCTGTGATGTCGCGCTTGAGCACGCGGCGGTGGTGGTCACTGCACAACAGCACAAACCTGACGCGCATGTGTAATGCACACACACGTTGTCATGTGCCGTGTGTGTATGTGTGTGTGTGTGTGTGTGTGTGTGTGTGTGTGTGTGTGTGTGTGTGTGTGTGTGTGTGTGTGTGTGTGTGTGTGTGTGTGTGTGTGTGT